AGTCATCAAATGGATCTTCAAAGCGACTCGATACTTTGATATTTATTGCCATTTTGAAGCGCAACCTTTTTTTTGCTCTATGCAATTAGGCGACAAGGGGTGGTAGTATGCCACTTGTATTCAGGGTTCTGGCGCGGCGCTAATTGTCCAAGAAGGGGCTGGCGCTGCGCCAAATCCTGCCCTGATACATCTCAGCTTCCGCGGCGCACAAGACTGTATGTATTTCGCCTTTGCTGTGTACATACTTCAGGCGACAACCGCTTCACATCGAAATCACCCGCTATTTCCGTCTTAGCTCATTTTCTCTATGAAGCAGAGAAGAGGAGGTGCTTAATGGGCATGCTCAACAATATTTGAAGAAACTTTCCTCTAGAAAGGATCCCAAATACTTGACAGATTTTTCATCACATATCTGACAATCAGTCATGTATACGACCACCTATAGTACTGGATTTTCACACAGTTGCAGCACAATTTACCCCCATCCATCCCATTTATGTTAATTTTGATTTATATGGACTTGCAGAGTTATTAGTCTATCATTGAATAGTTTTTAATCGAAAAAAGAATGAAACTGGATAGAAGGATTTCTCGTTGATTATCTGCAAGTCTCATGTTTGAAGGCGAGAACGAAATTGTCTCGCGAAAATCGATATCCTTCCTTGGTGTCGCGGGCGGGTGGATGTCGACATTGTCATTGATTAGATCCCATGAAGCCCTAAAATAAGCGAATTTGCATGTTGCTGGCTTTTTTTAATGAGGTGGAGACGCTAGACTAGGGGGAGGGGGCGTTTTTGCCCAAGCTAGGGACGGGTATGATGGGAAAAGCTACGGGTGGGGGAACTAGTTCCATTGTGCAAATGTTTGTCGTGGCTATAAATGCACTGGGTACTCTTCTCAATAAATCCTTCCCTTTTACTGGGATAGTACCCAAGTGAAATTTTCACACTGACGTTCAAAACAATTTATTTTAAAGCTCCCACATCCTCTATGGCGCTCAAGCAATTTATTTTAAAGCTCCCACATCCTCTATGGCGCTCAAGTAGTAGGTGTAACGATTCCGGGAATTACTGTTTTATTAAGTCTCGGGCTCAACGCTACTTCACCAGTTCTGATCATACAATTTTCATTTCAAATAGGACACTTTTCAAATCTAAATGGACGGTTTGTCAACCACTCGGAAATTTTTCAGATCAAATGGGACACACTATATGCATGGGACAGTTGGTTAAAGACAAACACTGCAGTTTATATAGAACCAGCCGGCTTCGCCGGCTGACACCGGCGCGCCTCCTTCTGAGATACAGCACGGCTTCGTCGAGCAGGCGCGGCTCCGCCGCGCTTACCTTCTTCCACACATTTCATTAGCCGCCTAGTATCAGGCTTTTCTTTTACCTGAACAGGTGGTCAACATTCTTTGACCAATAGCATCATACCTGCTCCTTTCAACACTATTACGGTGTATGGAGTGGTGGTAAGGAGCGTTGATCAAGTGGACAGATGAGAGAAAAGCCGGGTATTAGTCGAGCATTTGATCATACGAATGCAGGTAGCGCGACGCCCCGCAAAGCCGGGCCGTATCACATAGAGGTCTGGAGTGCCTGGAGTGCTCTGGAACCGTTTTGCGAATTTTTTAAATTTGGCTCCACCCACCTCGGGCACGCCCCGCCCACAACGTATGCCTCGCGCTTCTCAACTAATAACCCCTCGCTGATCTTAAACTACTTTTCCCGGTGTCTGGAGTGCTCTGGAACCATTTTGCGAATTCTTTCCGAATTTGGCTCCACCCACCTCGGTGCAGGCTCCGCCCACAACGGGAGTGCCTCGCACATTCTTACATTTGATCACTTGGGGACCATAATCCACTTTTTGGCACCATCTGCAGTGCTTTAGGACCAAACTACGACTTTTTATACTGTTCCTCGTGCTCAAATGCACGCCCCGCCCACTGTAGGCGGCCTCAGCACGCCGTAAACATGGTGGACTCTTGCCAGACGTTAGTCTTCGTCATGGACTTTTCTGCGATCCCTAAACATTTTCGGGGACCGAGTTACCGACCTTTGTGGGAAGCGCCGCCCATCTCAAGTACGCCCCGCCCATTTCGGGTGTCTCTCCTCCATTTGGTGTGCCAACCCAGTGCTAACCTAATTCCAATTTTTCCAGTCTCCGAGCTTTGTAGTCAAGTTATGGGACTTTTCGGTAACATGGGAAGCGCCGCACATCCCAAGTACTCCCTGCCCATTTCCGGTGTATCTCCTCTGTTTGGTCGGTCAGGCCTTTGTTAACTTTACTGCACTGTTTCCTCATCTCGGGACTGCTCTGGAACCGAGTTATGACTTTTTTCAGTGACATCGCTAACTTTCGACGCACGCCCCGCCCACTGTGGGCGGGGCTTACCATGGGTCATGGGTGCTATTTAGGTTTTGTCCCATGCTCTACCCATCCCCACCATGACCCGACCTCTCGAAGTTCTTCTTCTTCAGGTGCTGCCGCTTATATTAGTAGGACAGTGGCGTTTAATCACGAACTTCCAGTCGCTAAATGACTCTCTGGGAAAGGAAAAAGCAAATAAAAACCACGTAGTATATCCTAAGTAAGAACCTGGCAGCCTCTCTTGACTAGTTCCCCGGGCCTGCTCGTTTCAAGCCAGCAAAGAGATATCATGCTGCACTGGAATGTTGCGTAGCATTGGTTTTTTTTTCTGAAACCTTCAATTTCAGAAAACTCTGCTGGAGGAATACATGGGACGATTGTGCCAAAGCGAAAATATCACACCTTGAGCGCAGCGGCCGCCAAGCAAAGCACGCAGCCACGCCCTCTCCACCACTAGAGGTGGAATAGTTATGTGACAACGTAAAATGAGCACAAAATGGCCTTCTCTTCAATATTCATTAGATTAGCACGACGCGGCAAAATCATCGCACAGTTCAGTCGCGCTGTCACGAACGCAGCCGACCACGAATCTCGACTGCCTCTTGTATGGAAGAGGCAAGAGGGCGATCTATTATACAACAGTGCACTCTCCAAACGGACATTCTGATAATATTTATGGAATGTCAATAACATTCAGAGCTATACAACTACATCCTGAATACCGAGCTTCGTTGAGTATGTCCGTCAAAGACGAATGTGTTGTCCAATGGTACATATTGATTTGTCGCTAATTTAATGACTTCTTGAGCAGCGATACCTGAAAATAATGCATAATTGGTCTTTTCTCCTTGAGGTACACTCAACATGTGTGCCCTGCTCCCTGAATGCCGCCCCCCCCCTTTTCAGCTCCTAACAAGGTAAGGCACACGAAGCGAAGGGGGTCGGTGTCTCCTATTGTAGACGGTGACTTTTTATTGTCGCCTTGCAACACCTGATCGCACGGGGATAGCGGTTAAGATGTGCACGTTGCAGTAGCGTAGCCAAAACGCCTGCACCATACCTGCGTTACGTAGAAGCGCCACAGTGGCCGGTCAACTAGTAGCCTTACGCAGTCGAGAGAGCTAGCAGTGAGATACTAGAGATACTACATAATTGCTACGCGTCACAGCGAGGCGGTTCATCCAGTCCGCTCTGTTAGGCTGCGTTCATACATTGCTGCAACATGCACCAAGATCTACCAGCATCCACAAGCGTCCAACAGCAACTACGAAGGTACTATCAATCTAGCTAACGCCAGCGTCCACCAATGTCTACCATAGTCCACGTGCAACTGGTAAAGCTCACAATTATGCAGTGTAATGTCCGGTGTTGTGTAGCAGTACGGTGCGGTTGCACACGCTTTCACGACGCCTAACGACGCCAGCTGTCTGCTCCCTCTACTTCCCCATACTCTTCACTGCTGGACGCTCCTTACCGTAGATCGAAATCTATTCTTCCTTAGTTGATAGCCCCGAGGGACACTCGAAATGCTGGTAGCCGCTGGTGGGCGCTGCCGCAAAGTATGATGCAGCCTTACAGATATTTCATAGACCAGTTCGGTAAATTCAGAAAGGCGGCACATCATGAAAGGAATGAAGATGGGAAAATGTTTTCTTGGAAGAAATTTCGAAAAAACGAAAATGCGCTTGGCTCCCACTAGTGACTTCGGGAACAGCTAGGAGTACGGTGACATCACCTCATAAGGCAAAAGAGGCAGCACGGCGTAGAAACGAGTGGTTTCCGAACGACAGTTGCTCGTAACCCACCACTCTTTCTTGTGCTAGGTTACCTGGAGAGCAAACATCGAAAGTCTAAAGTTTCTCCATGTTCGCCTTTCTTGTAACCTGGGCATTTCTGTACTTATGGTATTGCTAAATTCTTTCTTATGCCGAACAGGTTTGTATGGTGGAATATTTTCTTTCCAAGGTTTTCGCCGTAGATCAGTCCCTATGTAGGATTGCGGCACGCATTCTACTTCCATTCAGAATCGTAGTGGCTTATTGAATGCGATGTGGCCTATACAAAACTTGCGGGCCAGCCGACGTACAAGCCAGTGTTCTTATCCTCTCAGACGAATCTGATACCGTCTACTGGAGGGTGTCTTACCGTCCAGAGGATGGAAGGATGGGTTGGCCTGGGCGGGAGCCGATCCAGGGTTTGATCCTCGGACCTTACGCATGGTAAGCGTGCCACTTCCCACTACACCACCTCGACCATAGAGAACAAACATAAGCCGCCTAGAATGGGGTTCAGGCGCGTCGCTTACGCACAGAATGCGCGCAACATCTAGTATGACTATTTTACCTCCCACAAGACTGGCAACAACATGCAGCTCTCCAGCACCATATCGACATATTTCGGCTATAGCATGCTGTGGCACTTGTGACATTATGGATTCTGGATTTTCCACCTGAACACAATATAATACTAGCAAAAGAGTAACACGATT